AAGCCCAAGGACAGATCTCCTCCCCAGCTCCCGCTCCTGCCAGGCAGCAGCTTAAAGGTTTTATTGCGAGGGCGGGCAGGGCGGCGGAGGGCAGCCCTCTCCCTGGTGCGAGGCCGGGGATGCTGCGGGGGGCTCGGCGCCCTGTTTGCGATCACAACTTGCCCTCTGGTGGCACCTGGAAAAACTGCAAACTTGTCACTGGTGCCCTGCGACAGCCGGAGGGGCACAGCCACGGGCTGGGCAGCTCTGGACCTCTGGCACTCCCCTGGCCCTCTGGCACTCCCCGAACGGTCCCCCAGTGCCATGGCATACGGACTGTAATTCTTTAATGCCTCTCGTGGAACGGCATGTAAGTACATAGCTGAACCGAGTGTGGAGTAATCCCTGCCCTGGCATCTTCCTCCCGCACTTCTACAGGCTTTCTGATGACTTAAAGAGCCCCCAAGGTTCCACCAGAAACGGTGGTCCATATAAATGACCTCACTGCCATTTAAAGACTGTAAAAACTTCTAGTTAAGCTTTGACTCACTTTGTTCCCTCCCTCTCAGAGACAGTAAGTACCTGGTATTGCAGGGAAAACTATACACTTGCCATGGAACTGTCTTGTAACGAGAAGCTGGTGACAAGCAGGCTGGGTTTCATGTCTATCAATGATTCTAAGGCAAATGTGTTCAGATAAAAGATTAAAAAAAGTCCTTTGTAGCCTCCACTTCCAGGTCTACAAACCTTCGTGTCTGGATTCGAGAGTCAAGCATGATCCTTCCAGCGCGGGTGCTGTTCCTGGCTTCTCTCCCTCTCCGTGTCTGTTCTAGCCAGGCTTGAGCTGACCCAAGAGCACACTGTTTGCTCAGGATCATCACTGGTCTTGCTGGGCAGGGTGTACTCAGCCTGGCTCTCCTTGCTAAGCCTGCCGAGTAGCAGTTAGTCACTGAACAAAACCCCAAAAAGGGCATTTTTTTCCCCAATGTTTTCACTTATTGAGGGAAAATAAATCTCCAGCCTGTGGGTTTGGGTTTTGCCCTTTCTAAGCCATCTGAATTTTACAGCATCAAGGCTCAAGCTGAGTCACTGGGAAATCCATGTATTCATGTCTTGGGAGATCTCAAATCAAATATTCGTCTTTGAGTCAATGCCCTGCATTCTCACAGGCTTGTTCTGTACAGGTGGTCAGCTTCCTGGAGATCGGCAGGGATTGTCCTGCCACCCAGTGCCAGGAAGAAGCGCTCTGCCTGCATTCGCCAGCACTTCTAGTGCAGAAGTGACTCAGAGCTATTCAGCCGTTCAAATGCCCCCACCTCCCTGATCTCCTCCTATTTGTAAATCCAGCTAATGCATCAGAAAGCCTTAGTCTGCAGAACTGTGAGTTTCTCAGAAGGAAATCTCCATGTCCTTACATGTTTGGAGCGAGGAAAAAATTGAACGGGCCTGCTAAAACTCTTCTGCGGACTTGCACGTGTTGTGCGCTCTGCCCAGCAATTTCCTGGGGTTTCTGCTGTTAGCCCTGTTTGTGCTTTCTAACGCTAATGGTCGCGCTGCTCACGAGCAACCAGGCCCTGAGGACGTGGACCCTGCGAGCCTGCAGTAACAGAGCCCTTTTCTCTTCTCCCAGGTTATCCAGGCTTCCAAGCTGCCACCTACGCGAGTCGAAGTTACACTGGCATTGCACCTGGCTACACTTACCAGTTCCCTGGTGAGTGGTGCTCCCTGCTCGGTTTTTTGGTCTGCCTTCAGGTGACGGGAGTCCCTGGCATGATCCATGACCCAGGCTCTGCCCCTTTCACCCTTTTCCCTGTTTGGTCTTTCTTTAAATTGGAGACGGATGTGGAAGGGGGAGGGGAGAAGCCCTGGAATAGGTGGGAACAGCCTGTCCTTCATTAGGATTATCCTCACACTCCAGTGGCAGGAAAAGCCCAAGGCTGCTCTGTCGCCCTTTATGTCAGCCTCCTCCGTAGGGCTGCTGCTGTGACACAGAAGGGCCCCTGCAGCTCTGCCTGTCTCGCTGCCTTTGTGTGTGTCTGTCTCTCTTTACCAGAGTTGCCACCGCTCTGAAAGTAGCACAGATTTTTAAAACGTGGCTTTCCATGGGCCAGGGAACTCCTAGGCACTCAAAACACAGGCGCCTGCAATGCTACAGTTGTGTTCTGAACAGCTCCTGGGTCACTCACAGCCTCCAGAAGGCATCTTCTGGGGCAGTGGGCTGCAGATCTCTGGCAGACTGGGTGGTTTCAAGCTCCCAGCCCCGCCATGTGCTCCGAACACGGATTCTGCAGTCGATGGCTGGAACCTGCTCTGCCGCAGCTGCTCAGAGCTTTCTGGGGCCTCTTCTCCCTCCTGTTCTCTGTGAGGCGGGGGAACAAGGCAGAGCACGTTCAGGGAAAAGACTGTCTTGCTATTTTGTAGAGAAGTGGCAACTCCGAGCATCCCTTCCTTACTCCATCCCTCAGTGTGATGGTTTATATATGAAGTCTTCATGTTAGGGGCTGGGAATGGGAGGTTTCCTCTTTGCCTGAGGTGAGCCCAGGCTGACTATGGCTGAAAGTTGCTGTTGCCTCCTGGCTGTCTGGAAGCTCTCCGCGAATCCAGTTTATGGGTCTCAGTTGTAGTGGCTTCGAGTGCCTCTTTGTAAATCCAAGCCCAGATGAGCCTGGCACGTACTGAGCACCCACCGGCATTGCAGCCGAGAGGTCACATTGGATGCGTTGCAGAGCAGCGCTCCAGGGCAGACCTGAGGCTGCACAGTGAAGCTTGCGCTTGCCCTGCCTTGGCCAGATTTTCATTCTAAGGATAATGGATCCTTTCAGTCTCCGGGGCAGGAGTCCAGCACCTTTCAGCACCAGTTATAAATTAGTTTGAAGAAGACACTGGCCTGGTTGCAGTCTGGTTTGCAGGCTGCTCCCCCAGCAGACCCCGGCTGCTGTCTCTCTGCCGGGTCTCCCTCGGGGCGTTTGATGAATTCCTAAGCTGTCTTGCATTTCGTTTTTAGAGTTCCGTGTAGAGCGGACCCCTCTCCCGAGTGCCCCCGTCCTCCCTGAGCTCACAGGTCAGTCCCGCTCATTTCCTAAACTCACAAGCTGGAAGGGGAGAAGGGGGCTTTGGGCTGTTCCAGTCGTGTCGCTGCTCCACAGCCTGGCGTAGTTAGACTGGATACGTTCCTTATTTCCTCTCCCATCTGTATGAGCTCCGTCCAAAGCTGGGGCTGGAAAGATGGAGAGGCAATCAGAGCCATGTGTATTGCCTCTGAGAAGGGCAATGCAGGTCATACCAAATGAAGGCATGTAATCCTTAGATGGCGTTTCCTGCTGCTTGCCTCCTTTTTAGCTCCTCGCCCCAGGCCGGGTGTAAACCAGATACGGAAAACTGCAGAGAGCAGGGTGACTTCTCAAAGGTCTAGAAATGACCTTAACCTGAGCTGCTGGAAGGATGAGATTTGGAGTGCTGGGAGGAGGGAGAGGGTGTGGGGGCACTCCTGGTTACTCTAATCCTGTTTCCCTGAGCGGGAGGGGCTGCAGGGAATGCTTTCCCTGCTCTGGGTGGTGCGGCTCCCCAGCTACTCCCACACACGCTTCCCAGGCAGAAGCGAATGTGGTGAGAGTCTACAAAGTCCTGCAGTGCTTGTAGGGAACTGTGGAAAGAAGTGGGGGCAGAGGACCATTCTCCAGCGACTGGTCCGGGCTCCGTGTCCTCACAGTGCAAATACGCTGTGGATCCTCAGCCCCTGGGTTGTGTGCAGTGTGTTCTCTCTAGGTGATGCTCCTTCTGTCTACTCTCCCTTCCATGGCCATGTTTTCCCCAGCTCTGTCCTGTCCACGGTTTTTGTCGTAGAAAAGCAGCTTTGTGTAGCACCCTGCTCCCCGTGTGCCATCTCATTTCCATGGTGTTCCTCTTCCTCAGTGCTTCCTTGCCCCCACCTGTTTCAGGGTTTGAATCTCTCTGCAGTGGGGGTGTGGAAAAGCTTTCTGGGAAGCTCTCCTGGAATTAGTGGTATGAACAGGCTTGAAAGGGAGTTTCTGTGGCACAGAACCGTGTTGATCCTCAGGGAGTCTCCATTCCTGGGAATGCTGAGGTTGGCAGCCACGAATGAACAAATTTCCCTGAGGGAGGTTGGGGGAGACTAAATCCTAGCTCCCTCGTAATAAAACCCTTCCCTGACACCGTGTATGCAACTGCATAAGCACCTGACCCCCACCTCTGAGCCTTTTGGTTGCCAAGCGAAGGAGATGTGGGTCCGGTTGTTTATTTACATGTGTGTTTTTCAGCAAAACCTATAAAATTTGTAGAGGAACGTTGGTGACTTGGCAAAAGGGCTTTTCCCTCCAAGATCCACCCCCGGCTGCACTGTGCCTTTTCCTAGCAGAGGTGAATCGCCTGGGGTCTGGCTGTCACCGGCGGCTGGAGTGCACCAGGGCTCTGTGCAACAAGAAGTTATTAATGCTGCTGTCCTGGCTGGGTGCCATGTTAGCTTACAGTCCCGAGTGTCTCGCTGAAGTACCAGCTGGGGATTGTGGCATTCTTCCCTTCCCGTTACGCTTACCTACTGTTAAACAGTCACTGTGCAGCCTCTTGGCTAGGCCAAGAGCTGCGATTCCCATGTCTAGGCTGAAGTTGGTCCCGCGAAGGGCAGGGCCCCCTTCGTTCCTACAAAGGCCCAGCGAGCTGTGCAGTGCTCGAGGGCCCTTGTGCCTTCAAGTGGATGCGTGCGCGTAAACGGGCTGCGCTTTCGGGGCTTGGCAAGTGGAACTGAGATGAGGGGATGGCACAAGCAGGGATGATTGCTCCAGCACGCAGGGAGCTAACATGCAGGTGCTTTGTCGTCGCAACACAAACCTGGTGTCTCAGTAGACAGGCTGCAAAGGCAGGAAGGGTTTTTTTTCCTAGAAAAAGCACTGCAGTACTTTTGAGAAGACCTGGCCTCCTTTCTCAGTAAAACTGCGTTCATTCAGCTGTGTGTTAGGGACTTGAAGCAGTGGTGGGCCAGGAGGGTGGCTGCCAGCAGCCTTTCCTCCCCAGAACAGCATCTTTGGGGGTGATGCAAAGCAGCAACATGCTCACGTTGGCCCAGGGCCTGTAATGAGCGGCTAACCCAGATATAAGCCTCATATGACGTTTGCTTGACACAGGCTGGTGCCTGCTACTAAATATTCCCTTATAAGCTAGTCTGGGTTTTGGCCTTAACGCGATTGATTTGTTCTGACCTCTTTTTATGGTGCTCTAAACAGAATCACAGTGAATTTCACATTCAAGCATGAAATGCTGACCCAGTCATTTTAAGGGCAAAGAGAAACATACTGGCTAGATACCTCCTGCCCCGAGGGCTGGATGCCTGTGGCAGTGGAGTTGGGAATTAGAACTGCTACATACAAATTAAGACTCACTGTTTTAATTAAGCCATTTCTAGTTCCTGCTCCCTAGGTATATGTTTCCTGCTCTTCTACAATGAACAGCAAGGGTTTGAGCAGTGCAGGAGCAAAAGGGTTGGGAGGATGGTGTGTCTTGAGCAGAGCAGAGAAATAAGGAGAAAGAGGCTGTTAAACTGTTACTCGAGAATACTACCAAGGGACAAAGAAGAGGGGATGAGCCTTAGGACACTGAGCTGTCAGCTGCTGTCCCTGAGCTGCTGCGTTGCTCCACGTTTACAGCCAAAACCTGGATCTGTAGCTTCAGATTAACTGCATCTTGCAAACTAAGTAGCGGCAGGATACATCTGAAATTGCCCACTTCGGGTTCAGCGCTTCCACGTCGTGCCTTCAGCAGCTCCAGGGTGTGGGCTTAGCAGCGCATGGCTAGTGAGTTCCCCCCGACATTCGCTGTGCAAACAGATACTAATAAATGCAGGGCTGTGCACTTCCCTATTGTCATCCTTTGATGTCCTGTGTGATGCACTAAGCCAATATGTCTGTGTGGGCCTGCTATTTTGCAGCAGGGAATGAACGCTCCTGTTGAGGAGTTTCCCATGTAGCCAGAGTGTCCCTGAGATGCCTGTTCCTTCTCTTCCAGCAATCCCCCTCACTGCGTATGGACCAATGGCGGCAGCAGCGGCTGCGGCGGCCGTGGTGCGAGGGACAGGTAACTGCTACTTTCCTCCCCAGCGCGGTGTTCTGTTGCCGAGGTTTGCGATGGGCTGCGGGAGGGGGGTGGGATGGGGTTACATTTTTGGGATCTTCACTACGTAGTTTTGCTGCCTCCTGTAGGTTCCACCCCCAGCCGCACCGGTGGATTTCTGGGTACCACCAGCCCCGGGCCGATGGCAGAGCTTTATGGAGCTGCCAACCAGGACTCAGGGGTCAGCAGTTACATCAGCGCTGCCAGTCCAGCCCCGAGCACTGGCTTCGGCCACAGCCTAGGGGTGAGTGTTCCCTGTCGGGCTCTGCGCAAGGGGAGGAGGATGGAGAGAGGGGCACGGCCAGAGGAAGGGGTTGCATCTCCATGTGGTGATGGAGGTGAGCAGCAGTGGGCGGCCCCCTCTCAGCCCACAGCCTGCTTTCTGGTTAAGAAATACCACCCGCTGCAGCATTCGCCATGCCACCGCTGAGCCCCAGACCGCAGGCAGCTGGTGCAGAATGCAGTAGTGCACTTGGAGCCCACATCCCTGGTCTCCGCTGGCTCTCCCTGACCACCACTCAAGGTCCTGACCTCCAGACCTTTCCCTGATCTGGCTCCAAGTTCCAAGAGCCTGCCTTGGCCCTCACGCAGTGTCCTGCAGGGTGATGTGCTCTTTAGACTTGGCACCTCCAACAGAAACCAGCTTTCCCAGTGCCTGGGCCATGACTGAATTTGTTGTGGTAATAATTTTCCTTCACTTTTCTTTTGTTTAAGAGTGGGATTTTAACTCTTTCTTTGCAGGGTCCCTTGATTGCAACAGCTTTTACCAATGGGTATCACTGAAGCTGGGGACCAAGGAGGCAGGAGGTAAGAGAGCTTCGAACAGGAACGGGTAATGAGAGAAGTTCTGAGCTGGCCCCTCTGCTTGGGCTCTTGGCAGGAGCTGTGGATGCTGCTGTGAGGCTCGCTGGCCTGACCCAGCCTGTGAGAGGAGTCCTGTGGCCAGCCTGGGGCTCTCTTCTGCACCAGAGGCTTGGCAGGTTGGGTTCCTACCTTACGCTCCCCAGGCTGGGAGTGCTGTGGAGAGGTCACTTAGTGTCTGGACGCAAAGAGGAAGGAAATGGGAGCACCGATAGAAAGAGGAAAGGTCTGCAGGCTTGGCCAGAATCACAGCCCAGTGGGGATCCTGAGAGACAAGCTTGGCTCAGCTGTGTGACTGGGGAAGCCGCCTTCATCCAGCTGGTGGTTCTCACTGCTGCTGAGATCAATGTCTCTGGGGAGTGAGGTTTTTCTTCTCCTGCCTGGGAGAAGGGCAGAAGGAAAATCTGAGTCTGATCAGTTCTGTTTCTGGTCCTCGGATGGACCTGAGAGAGAACTGGTAGATGGTCTCTGTTTGCTTTGCAAACACAGTTGAAGTTAGCTGGCTTAAAATTAAAATGAAAAAAAAAAACAACTAGCTTTTCAAAACGAAGGGCAAAAACTTGCAGGGAACAGTGTCCAGACAGGAGCCCATGGCAGCCTGGCAGGGCTGCGCTGAGCTGAGTGCTGGTGAAACGGCCGGACCCCGCCACGTCACAGGCATCCCGAGGGCCAGGAGTGCCACAGGTCCGGGCAGGCAGGCTGCACAGCGTGTGGGGCCTTGTTTCCCAGGCCTGCACATTGCCATTAAGGATGGAAGCATCTCTGCTGCGCCCCGTCGCTGTGCCAGCGAGATGCAGAGCAAGTCTGTGTTGGGGCAAGTTTGGGTATCGAGTATTTCTGTCAGATCACACCGGAAGAAAACCCCAAGAGACAAGCTGTTGGTTGTTCTAGATCTTGTCCCTTCCCTCCCCTGCTGTGTCCCGCAGATTCCCCAGTGACCTAACCGAGGACAGCGAGCGGCTGGAGGATCTGGTGAGCCTCGGGGGATGAGCCAAGGTTACCTTTTTCTTGAATCAAACTGCACACTGCCGGCTGGCTGCCAGGCTCCTGCCGCCCTGCCCTGATCTCTCCCTTTGACCAGACCACACTGGACTGAACCCGAGGAGATCATCTCGCTTTCTTACTAACCACCGACGGTTTACGCTTCCCCCCTCCCTGCCCCCAGCCCACCGATTCTTCTTTTATTTATTTTATTAGCTGTTAGGTTTATTTTTTTATTTTATTTTTTTATCTTTTTTTGGGGCTACCCCTTCTTTTTGTTGTTTGCTCTTTCCCGAGCTAGTAGACATATTTTATGAATTGGCTTTGTGATTGTGTTAGGTAGTTTTTATTGAGGAGTATTTTTATTTGGCTTTGAAACTGTTTTGAATATTTTCAACTCTGTTGTTGTTGTCGTCAGTGTTTTTAAAGCACGGTATGTAACAAGAATGCAGTTCTGAAGGGAAGAAAGAGACACAGAGAGAGCAAAGGCTGAGAGGAACTGATGTATTTCTATTTTTTTTAAAGAAACTGTTTTTAATTGTTTCTGTTTTGTAAATGTGAGGCTTTGAAAAGTGTGAAACTCCAAGGATCCGAAAACGTTGGACATCGCTATGGAACAAAACAAATGTATATTTTGCTAAGTGAAAAACACTATCCTTACAGCTGAAAGAATTTTTTTTTTCCTAGGTTTAGTTTTACGTGGGGTTTTCTTTTTCCTCCTGTATAATATGTAAATATCGCGAGCTGAACCTGGCTGCTGCCTGCAGCCTGGCTCCAAGGAGCAGCTCCAGGTCCTGGACTTGGTGCCGCAGCGTGAGCAATACTCTCCAGCAGAATCCTGACAGGACTCCGTTCTTTTTTTGTACACCTTTTACTGTAAGATTTTAAGACCTCTGATGAAATGAAAGGGGGGTGGGGGGCAGGGGTGAAACGTACCGGCCATCGGCTGTTTTGCTGAGCGGGTTAAAGCTGCTTCCAATTGCTCGATGTACAGACTCCATCACTGGGCTCCATAGTGCCGGCCTCTAGTTTGGCTTTAGGTAAAGGGCTTTACCGCCATTGCTTGTCTTGGTTACTTTGAAAGGAATTCACTCTCCAAACACTATCGCTTGCGTCAAGATTTCCTGGGAAAGGGGATCCTCCTCCGGAGGCAAGGGTATCGGAAGGGCTGTCGGCCAGGGCCAGGGGGAGATTTGGGCGGTCGTTTTCTGAAGGGCAGGGCGCTGGGTTGGGGAGTCATTAACGGGGGAGAAAAGCATTAGGGTGGTGATTTGGGGGCGGGTTAAGGGCTTCTCAGGGATTATATGAATTCTAGAATTGCAGCTTCCCGTTTGCTTTACTCTGTGTTCTGAAGACTGTGGGAATTTGTCCATTGTCCTGTGCGGGGGTGATCTGGTCCCTTCTCCAGAACCTGCCGGGGCTTCCCCTGGTGCGGTCCAGGCCCCTGCTGACGAGCACTCTGCCAGGGGAAGCCTCCAGCAGGAGTACGCGGGGCAGGTTTGGGTCTGGATTTCAGTGAACCAAAGACCTTGTTAAGGGGAGTGATTAAGCCTTTTATTAAGATGCAGCCAAACTCTTTTCCCAGGGAAATAACAGCTTCATCTTAAGTTTTAAAAATCATTCCCTCTCTTCCCCCAAACTGAGCCCCTGTAAGGGAGAGGGGCATTTAGAAAAGGACTGGGAGGGCCACAGTGCCCACAGGGCCCTTTTTCTCTTCCATCTCTCCCCGTCTGCCGGAGCTTGTCCTGACCTGGGCGATGCGTTTGGAGAGTTCTGTTTAGGTAAGAGGGTACTTAACAGATCAGTACTGAAAACACAAAGCAATAATTTTTGTTACTGAGACAAGAGTCTGTATGTCTGTTTTTTTAAATATTTCCTAATTAAAGAAGAGCTGCATTTTATTGGGTTTATTTTTATTCTATATACTTCAAATTTGGGTCTGCGGACAGCGCTTTCCTCCCTCTTGGTATATGCGCTGAACTGCTTCCGTGCCCCCTCCAGACATCCAAGGCCAGCTGTGCTGCTGCTGGGCTGTGATTCACTCTCTGGCCAGTGCTGCCACTGCCTGGAGGCTGGGGCTCCGGTTTCAGGGTGGGCATTTTTTTTAAAAGAAATAAAGCTGTGTTTTTAAGCCAGTAAGTTATTACACTCCAATGTTTGTTCTCTCCACACCTGTAACCCTTTTTCCAGATTTCAGTTTTAAATTCCTAATAAATTATTTGAAAACTGTCCTTCTCTGTCATTATTTGGGGGTGGGAGATTTTCAAATGGAGGAGATTTCAGGTGAACTTGGACCTGGCAGGAGTGGCATCCTGCCGTTAGGATAAAAGCCCCAGGCAGGGCTCTGACTCTGTGTTCTACTCCCAGACTTTGCCAGTGGCCTGGTTTATAACGTGAGGCAGATCTGGTTTTAATAGAGATTGTGTCTCCTCTGTCTTACAGAGGTTTTGTATAGATATTTGTAGGTTCGAGAAAGGAGGAGGATATAGTGTGGTGCTCAGATGCTCTGGATTCAATTACTATGGTGGAGCGAGGAGGCTAGATCTAAGAAAGTGAAATGGGGAGATGGGAAAGGAAAAAAGTCCTTAACAGACTACGCTACAAGAGAAAGGTGAATTCTAACAGTGTGAAATAGTAGGGAACCCTCCGCAGCAGGTCTTAATTACAGAGAAGTCTTAAAAATAATTTAAGGCTCAAGCCAGTAAGTTTAGGAATCAGTTCTAAGTTGGGTTGCCCTCACCAGCATACCGAGGACCAGTGGCTTTGTATGCAGCATAGGTTGGGTAAAACCAAAAATAACGCTGGTGGAAAAATCTTTACCCTGCTGGGATTTTTCTCATGAGGCACTCTTGTATAATGCTCACATGCTCACTTTCCCACACTTAGTCATCCTTTTGTTGAATTAAAATGTATGAAATCCAAGATATGACAGTATTTTTGATTTGTGACTTAAAAAGGCCAGTTTATTGGAAGTTTTCTTGGGAACATCAATAATAAATCAGACATTGAGAAGTGAGGAAAAAGGAATACAGAGTCTTAAGCTTCATAGGTAAGAGAACAGAGAAGTAATAATTTTAAAAAGAGTAAACATAGCCAGAGTAGCAAAGGAGAAAGAGAACACTTAAATGGATATTGAAGGGAAAGTCAGCAGATTGATCTGTGGGCAAAAGGTTAAATTCTTTATTCTGAACTAACTGTGGTACGGACTGGCATTTACATCAGCCTTTAATGTTTGTTCAGTGTTGTATTAGGACGTGAGAATTTTGAATCTGTAACTCAGCATCTGTTTGGCTTTAGGTGACCTATGAGTGGGGAATTCCAGAGAATCTGAGAGCTTGTGAAGAGATCAAAAAAAGTCGGAATGGTTATGGTTGTTCAACAGCATGTCTAGCTTTAGCTAGATGTCCTGTGGATCTGTCAACATCCTATGGATACTCTGGGCACCCTGGCATAGATTCAGACCCTATGAGGGGGAAGATGTCCTCATCATCCCTTATAGAAACATGCATTTGAACCTACTGAAGGGTGGTGAACTCTTAAGTTTCCTGAATAAGCACTCTGGCATGTTAGGCTGTTGGGGAAAGGTGGGCTTTGCCTCTTCCTCTGCTTTTAAAAACTGAAGGCTTGTTTGGTGCTTTAGAAATAAGTGCAGGACCTGACTATCAAGTGAGCAGTCTAGGATCTGTATCTTGAGTGTGTGAAAATGCTAAACCTGTAGCCCTGACAGTGTTAGAGCCTCTGGGGTCTAAATATGAGTGCAGTATTTTGGACTTACCCCTGGCTGGCTCCACGAAGCTTTTTCTTACCCATTTTTTGATCTTCTTTCAAGGTTCCCAACTGGCCTCATGCCTTGGCATAGAGAACCAAAGCGCCTAACTGGGTTCTGCATTGGTGCTGGAGAAAGAGCAACTGCTGTCTCTGAGCTACTGAAGTCTGCTGTGTATGTTGAAACTTAGCCCAGTTCATTTCCAGTGTAACTCCCTTAAGGTCATGCAAAACCAGACACTACTCCTTGTTTAAGCCAGATCCAGAGGCTTTCCAGGTTGCTTGGCTCCTGTTTCTAGCCGCCTCCTTCTCTTCCATGGCTTCAAAGTAAAAAACAGCTTGAATTTTTTTCAGCTCATGCCAAGTGGTCATTTGGGGTGAGTGGACAACCTGCAACTTACTCTCTGAATTAGGCCATGAGAATCCATGGAGAGATACAGGAGTAACGGTAAGTGGGATACCATAAAAAGAAGATGCCAGTATTAGCAGGATGGTTATTAGTGTGCCAGCAATTTCCAACATAACTACCACACTGCTACTATTTTTCAGTAGAGAACTCTTAAAAATGTTGAGATCTTTCAGGCTGGCTTCTAATAATAGTATTAAAAGAATTTAATAGCAAAAATCAGAGAGCAAATATTTGCCTTCCTGGCTTTCATAGATTTAACTCCACTGGCCTTCAACTGGTCATGTCACAACCTGCTGTTCATAGCCTCTGATGGAAGAAATCTGCATTTAGTAACATAAATACTGGCTTGTTTATCTCACACCCATGCCAAGGTGAGCTTGTGATATAAACAGCTGCGTTTTTCTTTAGCACGAGTCTCTCTGTCAAATTCCTCCGAGGATGAAGTCCCTGGCTCTGCTTTTCCTGCTGTCCGGTGCGTAGGTGGCACTCATCCCCCTGGACTGGTAACACCCTGCCTAACTCTAACCCTTGTGTTTCTTCTCAGTGGGCGCAGCCAGCGCTGCTCTCTCACCCCGGGCTGTGTGGGATCTTAGGAGCATGATGAAATGCACCATGCCGGACAGCCATCCTCTGCTGCAATATTCTGACTACGGCTGCTACTGCGGCTTGGGAGGCAGCGGGACTCCGGTGGATGAGCTTGACAGGTTTATAAGACTCTGCTTTCACAAATCTCTTTCCTCGCTTGCGCTTTCATGGTTCTGCATGCCAGCTTCGTCTCAGCTGGCTCTGCCTATAAATGTTCACACAACTCTCCTGCTGCTGTGAATGAAGCTTTCTCTCAAAGACCGATTCAAGGAAAAAAAGGATGTGTAGTATCACACCTTGATGCCTTATTGCTAAGGTAAAATATAATCCCAACAACTGTTTTCTGAGGCAGGTACACTGCACTCGTTCGAGCAGGTTTTTTGCAGCAGTGCTGTGCCAGCAGCCCGGACGCAGTTCTGTGAACGCTGCCAAGTGCATGACCGTCAACACGTGCAGGGCTGAGCTGCAAAATGCTAAGAAGTGGCTTGGGCCGTTTAGAGATCACACAAGTCTGACAGCCAAGATGCAGTGAATTGTGTCGGCTGTTAGCTCTTCAGCTACCGGGCGCTGACGGGGCGCATAGGGTAAACGCTGGCTTTTGCTTTCCCTGTGCCCAACAGACAGCTGTGAAGATGCTGCAGTAAGTACATGCGTACCAGACACCTCCTGGACCATTAGCTGGCAGAACCATGTCCCTTTGAGGTCCTTTGTGTCTGCCCTCTTATCACTGGGTGTCTTTTTTTTTTTTGTTTTTTTTTGTTCAGTGCCCTGTCAAAGCAATACTAGCATATTTACATGTCTTACAGGTCAGCCGAGTTTGCATTTCTGGTATTTTCTGACCTTTTCCTCCTTGTTTCCCAGGTGCTGTCAAGCACATGATGCCTGCTATTCAAAGGCAGAGAAACTGGAATCATGCACATTCATCATCGACAACCCTTACACAAGGACGTACAGCTTCACCTGCTCCAACGGCCAGATTACGTGTGACAGTATGTCCACTTCCACGTTACTCTGCTTCAGTCGTTACTCCGCTTCAGTCGTTACTCCAGTCTCTTCTGAAGGAACAGGGCTGCTTTACACTTCATGCTGCTGTGGCAGGAAGGCGCAGCGCAAGTTCTTGTCGGGGGGGCTGGTTGTTAGAAACAAGGCACCTCACACGGGCACCGGAGTGAATATTCTCTGTATAGCAGACAATTTAAAGTTAATGAAGATATACGGTATCGCAGTACATAGCGAAACTTGTCCTCTCTTCAGGGGACTGAGACCCTGTGGTACTGTTTGCGAGTCCCTTGAATGGCAGTATTTAAGAGATCGGCATGCTAACTGGGAAGGGTTACACAGCTTCTGCCGGACATCTGTAATGTAACGGTGGGGCTGTGGGACACAGGTAAATAGCAGAGAGGCTGGCAAACAGAATTGCAGGGAAGGAAGGAAGGAGCAAGGAGATTGCTGGGCCAGAGCGCACAGCCTTGGGGCTCGAGAGTTAGCGGAGAGAAGCACATACACCCCCAAAATGACAGCAGCAGTGAAATGGCTGTGTCCTGGCAGCAGAAATGCCTGCCTGAGTCACTGCCATGCCTGCTGAAGGAGCTGCAGGGTCTGACCGCTCCTGCTTTCTCCTCCAGGCAACAACGACGCGTGCCAGATGTTCATCTGCAACTGTGACCGCACCGCTGCCATGTGCTTCGCCAAGGCGCCCTACGATCCCAAATACAACAGGCTGGACACCAAGAAATACTGCCACTAATCCTCCTCGGGGCGGCAAAAGCTCCGCGGCGGCCTGTCGCTAATA